ACCAAGTCTATGTGACACTTGAACACATACCCGTGTATGACACAAGTAAAGCCCGAACAAGTACCAAAGCAAATGTAAACCACTTTTGTAAGTATTCAAAACATGGAAATGAATATACACAACACACCATTATAACATGGGATACTAAGATGGTGTAGGCTTCGGCGAATTGTTGATGTTGAACTGAGTAAGGTGGACCTCTTGTGGAAGAAGGTGATATTTGATACCAAGGTTTTCAAAGTTCTTCTTAAGCTCCAATATAAGATCAGTTAAACGAAGGTTTCGTTCACCAATGTTTTGGTGGTTAATAGTGTGTTGCACACATAAGGCCATCTTCATTGTGTTCAAGTCTTCTATATCTTTTACTATGAAACTATGTTTTGAATTCCAATGATTTGGCTTGCTGTCAATGTAACTGCACATCAAATACACCGATATTAGTCTTATTACTGATAGCATAATTTTCGAAACTCTAGGACTATATATAGTCCTTAGAAGAGCAGCCTTACCTTTGTGTTGCCTTCTTGAGCGCGTTGATGGATTCAATAGGAGTAGAAGCATCTATGGTAAAAGGAATTGTATCCCACATTTCTGGACTTCTGTAGAAGTTACTGATTGGCTTGCTTAAAAGAGCTGAATTCGGATAGTAGATCTTCTCCATGTCATACCTCAGGAAAACTGTGGTTAATATGTTCATCTCTTCTACAATCATCTTCAATCACATAGGAACATAATCTCAATAAATCGCGACTAAAATTAGCATACAAAAGTGATAGAGTATGAAACATAATCCTGGTTCTATGTTAGTGGACCAACTCAACCAAAAGCTTAAGCTAATGGTTGAGGCCCAGGAATATGTTTTATACTCTATCAAAAAGAGACGGCAACATCAAAGGAATTATTATACCTGAACACCATCGACTTTGCAACGATCTCCTATGTCGAAAGGGTGCATAACAAACACGAAAATGATGCAATCGAAGATGGTTTTGCAAGTGTTATGAAAGATAACACCAAGGACTACCATTTGTGTGATGACAAACGCAACTACTTTTGGTGTTGCTAATCCCATCAGCAAGAGAAACACCACAAAGATTACTACAGTAACAATTGCTGATGCCATCTTGTGAAGCTGCTGCACTGCTGTTTTCGTGTCGTTCAGTGAATGTGCTAGAGCCTTTCTTTCAAAATAAGCTCGTACCTTTCAACCATAGTCATGTAGGTAATTGTCAGAAAATGAACAACAATCTAACCTTTTCGGCGTCTTAAATTATTTGAATAAGCTTACAGTTGTGTAAAAATAGGAATATATCATAAACTTACCACCCAATTTCTAAAAGAAGACTTGGTGATTCTTCCTGTCTCAAGTGCTCCTTCGAAAAGAGGGAATATAGCATGAATCTCATTCCTCTTTAAAAAACCTTGCTAAATCCTCCTCCTCAATGTACCTTCCAAATTAAATTTGTAATCATTATAATTATTATACTAAACAAGGGAAACTAAAAAACAAATTTTTAACACGTGAATGAATTCTATCTATATCATTGTACTTTTGCGAGTCCATTTAATAATAGTACGTGACATTATTTTTAATGAAACGAGGGTAGAATATATAAAACTTAAGACTTACTTGGCACCGCGTTTTGCAACGTTTCTAAAGATGCGTTTAGCAGTAGTTCTAGCTTCCCATTCACTAGTAATCTCAGATTCAGCTTTCCCAAATTCATCAACTGTTTTCGAAATCGTAGACAAACTAGAAGATCTAATGAGTTCATCAACCTCTTCAAACTCCAAATCGACGCCGGACTCTCCTTGCTCAGCTCCTTAAGCTTCTCCATGTCCAATTTCCTTGATCCATATTTCTTTGATCTCATCATTTCCTTAGCATCCTTCCATTTTGTTGGCAAAGATTTTGACCCTTGCATTGGTTTGTGTTGCTCCCAAAGTAATTCATCCATTGGTGGACCTAAATTATATCAATAATAATTCATATTCATATTCATTATTTAACTAACATTTAAAGGCTGTTGTTCTCAATGATTGAACTCAGCTGAACTGAACTGAACTGAATTGAATATTTTATAAGAGAAGGAAATTAGGAGCTGGTTGAACTGAATTGAACTTATTAAAGCTGAACTGAACTGAAAATAATCGTATGAGAATAAGCCTTAAGTCAATTATACTACTAACATATAATGTAATTTAATTTCATGTTACATGCAAAGTAAGGGCCTCAAACTAATTACTAAATTAGTAAATTGTCCATCTACCCATGTCACATGTCACACAATTATGTCCCACGATGTAAGTTGTTGTGTAACCAAATGCGGATCTTGAACTAGGACTCGACCTCAAATAATTATTTTATTTAATTAGTTATTAAACTCAAATGCACCTCTTTTACCTGTAAATTGTTATGTGTTTCATAATCAGATTGAAATAAACATACTCCTTACTCCTTATCATCTACACCGCTATACAATATATCCTAAGTCTTAACATGTCACATGTGGACATATAAAATAATGTTGTAGCATAATAATTGATTTTATTTGTTTTATTATTAAGCAAGATATTATACATTCGAGTTTTATCTCCTCCTAAATTTTCGGCCAAGATCCGCTATCAACCCGACAGTTAGTTAAAACTAGCTAGAACAATAAGGATGTGTTCATGTGGATATGTCATTTTCGTATCCAGGAGAAATGCCGAAAGCGTCAATATGTCTCAGTAAGTGGGAACTGCGACATACCAATTTGTCCTAATAAGTTGGACCTAGCATCTTACCTGTAACAACTTATACGCCTAATAGTGGACTTTGTATTTACACCATTATGTAGCACATACAAAGCACAACACCGACGAATTTAAATTACTCAACCAGCCATGCAGTTCATCTTTGTACTTGCAAAATCATCCATAGCCACTGAAATTATTTGTCGGTTTTTTAAATAATAGGCCACATTTTTTATGTATATATATATATGTCATGCGAGTGGTTTAAAGTACAATAACGGGTTGCTTTCTAAAATATGCACGTAGTATTTATTTTCACCATTCCTTTTTGTTTTTTTTACGTAATCTTATCTTTTTTTCTTTTATGTAACCTTATCTTTTTGTTTTTTTTACGTAAACTTATCTGGGCGTTCTTATATTTTACGTAAAAATGCTCTATCTTTATCACTATTTTTCCAAAAATAAAAATAAAATGGCATCCATTATGTAAGTATTGTCTCCCAAAACTTCCCTATATATAATTAAAGTAGATATGACAGAAGTAGAATCTATTGTGGTTTTTACATTAAAAAAAATATTCTCATTTTTAGTTACTTCATATTTCTTATCTAAAAATCATGCAAGTCAAAGTCAAAGTCAAAGTCAAAGTACAGTAGAAAAAAATACAGTCAAATTGATGAATGTAAATGATGGAAGTCAAGGTACAATAAAGCAATATAAAAACACAAATTAATTAAGGTCAAAGGTACTAACGAATTTCATGAAGTAAATCTAAAAAATAATAAGAAGAATAATAAGAAATAAGTCATAAAGTTCTGAATTTGTAAGAATGTGATTCTTATTAAAACAAATTAGGTATCAAATCAAATAATTCTACCTTTTCATATCACATTAATAAGTACATGAGTATATATAATTTATATGGTTGGCTTAGATTTTTCACTTTGTTTATTAATTGGTTGGTTGAGGAGCATTCAAACACTAGGCTAGTTGGCTTATTTCAGGTCAAAAAGTAGTGTAAAAGTTGTTGTGAGCAATCGATTATAACGTGTTACTCGTATCATCTTTTTTTAAGCATTCTTTCCCAATTTTGAATGCTTTAATAATGCTGCTTAATTAATTAATCAATGCATATTAAGAAGCATATTATCTACTTAAACTCAGATTTGTCACTTTCTGAAGATACTCTTCTATCGATCTACGAAACATTAATTTAACTTATTAAGAAACATCATTTTTTGGTGTCATTATCTTAAATCTTACAACATACAAAGTATTTAGTAGATTCTTGTATGTATTGAAAGAAAAAAAATTGCATCATATTATTGTTTACTAAACTAGACCATGATTTTTTTTAAAAAAACTTGGTACTTTCCTCATCTAAGATCAAAATCTGATTTTATTTATTTTTTTTAATTTGTTTTTTAAACAGAAAATTAGGGATTACAACATAATTAGGGACACTTGTAGTTTTTCTTAGTACATCTTAAGTGCAAGATTAGAAAATTTGATTTCCCCCCCCCCAATACATATGACAATATGATATTGTAGTGTAACTCCATAATTATTAAACAAAATGTCTCTTTTTTTTAATTGATCAATTAACTAATTTAAAAATATTAATTTTAGAGTACACACTTTCTCTAATCCTTTTAATTCTTCCTATTTGAAATCCTTTTATAAGATAATAAATTCAAATAAAGTTGGAAAATTGAATAAAAGAATCGGATGGAGTACAAGGAAAACATTTTTTGTAAGAAAATATAAGATGCATATAAATAAAAATTAGCAAGAAACAATGAAGAACCTGAGAGTGCGTCAAGTATGTAGTGATGAAAAACGCTTTCCTTCATACGATCAAAGTAAGTCCGCACATGAAAAGAGGAAGCTAGGGTCTTAACCAACACAATCTTAACCAACCATATGATTGCACCAACTAGAACCGCGACTAACAATTGTGACACCCTCTTAACCACCTTGTTATTTTGGTGCACTTGAGCATCAAACATACAAGTCCAAGCTAATAACACAAGTGCTAACCAAATACAACTTTGTATACTCTTCCTTAAACCATACACAAAGTACAACACCTTTTCTCTTAACATGAAATTCCTCTCTATCAAAAACACCAAGAAGCTCACTAGCCACCCCGAGCAAAG